ATTATGGATTTTATAAGGTACCCCCAAAAAGGAACTACAGTGGAGACTATAGGTAAAACCCTAAACCTAAACCCTAAACCCTAAACCCTAAACCCTAAACCCTAAACCCTTAAACCCTAAACCCTAAGGCCCCTTAAACCACCCAGGGCGCCCGGCCTTGTTGGTTTCGAGCATCTTCAGGAAGGGATCCGCCTTGTCCTCGGCGTTGGGGTAGTATTTTTAGGGGTACCCCTTAAAGGGTTAAAGGTTTAGGGGTTTAGGGTTTAGGGTTTAGGGTTTAGGGTTTAGGGTTACTGCCACATTTAGGTAGTATTTTTAGGGGTACCCTTCAAAGGGTACCCCTTCTGAACCCTACTTTTGGCTCTCTTAACAGGGACCTTATTGAGAGGGTCTATATCCCCAAGGGTCCCTCTAATCCTAGCTCCCAGGCTTCTTTGGGACTTCAAAAGGGGCTCCAGTACGAAATGTAGGGGCCTTAGGAATTAGAATAGGGCTTTGGCGGGCTCCTTGAAGGCTTCTATAAGGGCTACTATAAGGGTTTAGGGTGTAGGGGCCTTAAGAATTAGAATAGGGTTTTGGTGTAGATTATACTATATTATAAACAGGAACCCGCCAAGTAGTTTAGGTGATTATTAAGGCCCCGTATATTGCATACGCAACCAAAGGCCAGAGGCCGATGGTTGCGCAGAGTTTGGGGGTTTAGGAGTTTTTTGGGGGCGGTTTAGGGTTTAGAGGGGTTTAGGGTTTAGGGGTTTAGGGTTATTAGGGGCGAGATTACCAAGAAGATTGCCTATGGTACATTAATCCCACGCTCCCAAAACAAGTTAATCCTCGTAACTGCGGAATGAATGTGTCAAACCAAAACCCCCGCCGAGGTACTTGTGCTCAGATGTGGAACAGGACTGCGACATGCACATTCCAAACTAAAATAAATTAGTCGTAAAGTTCCGTTTGAGGGAGGGACTATCGTGAATGCAATTCCTGATCAGACATCGTAACCCGAAAAGTAGCAGGTCTCTTTGTCCGGACCTAAACTCCCAATCCTGGATCAACCGGCCTACGGCAACGTTCATGCACCATTGCATTATACGCTTTGGCCGTAAAGGGATTTCTCACTAGGGTTATGGGCCAATGCAGGCATCATCTACTAAAATCACTCCGAAGCCTAGGCCATAGGTACATGCCTTTTGGGACAGCCCAGCCGCGACGACGCCGCCTTGGTCCTGGCCCATGCTCATCTTCTCCGCGATCCAACGCCGCTGTACCTGAGTGCTTCCGGCGCATTGACTACTGAAAGGATCCTGCATTGTCTATATATCACCTGGCTGTGTATGGACACATGTACATACACTACAAAATGTGCAATTGCAGTATAGATAAACACAGAGAGACAGATACATGCTTATAAATAAATTAAAAAAAAAATATATATATATATATATACACACACTTGTATCTGTATCAATATTATACATATGTACGACTACGCCGATTGGGTGACACCATCTTTCTTAATCGGATCAGCCCTTTGTTTCTGCACTTTGTACGACGTATATATTTACAGGAGATTCATTACCCAGGGGTCTACATTGAACCGCAGTATAGAAGCCTTATAGATCCCGTACAGTATAGAATCCTGACCATTTCTCAACGGAGCGGCTCTACGGCAAGAACTGGAAGCGTTCGAGAAACGGGGTTTATGGGGGGGTCTACATTTTGGGATTTCGGGTCCTGCGCCCTACGTAAACCGTAAGCCCTATAGACCCTACCTAAACCCTGAATACTAAACCCTAAACTCTAAACCTTGTAGACACTAATGTCTAAACTCATTGGGGCTCGACCTATTTCATCCGGAGCCCTTTTAATAATGGATAGTTAGCGTTGCATCGAGGGCATGCGGGTGTAGCAGCCCCCAAACCTTCGCCTCAGTGGCATGAGGATCCCACAAGAACTTTGTACGAATGCTATGGAAAAGCAACGTTGAACCCTGAACCTCACAAGCCCTTTTCCATGTTTGGACACTCGACAAGAACCCCAAACCTCAAAACAGTAAACTAAAAACCATAGATCCTAAACCCTAAAACCCCAATAAACTAAACCCCAAACCCTAACACACTAAACTCAAAGACATGGGTAGTTCTCTAAATTAGGGCCCTGTTTTGGGTCCCCAATACAGTACGGCACCCTTATAAAAAGGCCCCCAAAAGGCACCCTAAGATTGAAAACTACCCACATCCAGAAGCGCCGAACCCTAAACCCTAAACCCCAACACCCTAACACCCTAAACCCTAAACCCCCAGTACACTAAACCCCAAACCCTAACACCCTAAAGCCAAAACCCCCAATAAACTAAACAAACTAAACCCCAAACACTAACACCCTAAAGCCAAAGACATCCAGAAGCACCGAAGCCTTGAGCAGAGGTGCGGTTTCTACAAGAGCCCAAGGTAGACACAGCTCCATGCACCTGGGAAGCTCGATGCGACTGTAGGGCATCAGGGTTTCGTAGGGCTTATAGGGTTTAGAAGGGTTTGGGATTGAGGGCTTTAGGGTATTCAAGGCGTTCGGGTGTTGAAGAGCTTTGAGGGTTCAGGGTTCGGGCTTTGGGACTTTGAGGCTTTTGGTTTGGGGCTAGGGTTCTCTTCGCAGCGTATCAGGGCTGCATAGAGCTTTCTTCCGGGATTCCGGGGATGTATAAAGGTGATTGAAAACGTAGAGGTCACGATGATGAGGCTACAGCGATTACTTTGCAATAGTTGGGTCCTCGTCATGTGTTTTGCAATTTGCGGCTTAAGCTGGGATCCTTGAGCGCTTCTGATGGGTGTGTCATAAGGAATTCGTGAGAAGATCAATATATTGCTAAACCCTCAGTACACCCTATATACCGTCGAACCCTACAGTTGCACAACTCAAACACCCTAACACCTACCCCCCAGACCCCTAAAGCCTAAACTCTTAAATTCGGGACCCTAAACAACCCTACTTGGTTCCGTGGCTGTCCTAATATCGGACAGCTCGCACTTCGACTACGGCACTGGTGGCTGGAGGGCGCAGCATGGATATCTAGAGCTTAAACGATTTGGGGGTTTCCGAAAATAGGGGACCCTAATATAGTACCCCAAATTAATAGGATCCTTAGTATAAGGACCCCAAAATAAGGTACCCCTAATTTTCGGAAACTCCCATTTTGGGTTTAGGGTTGACGCCATCAGCTTTGGGGTTTCGGCTTCGGCGATTCGATTCTTCCCGTGCTTATGAACGCGCCTGTCAGCGTTCAGCCGTTCCAGGACGTCGGTGTTCGTCACACCGCTGCCCTGGGTGGTTTATTTACTTCAGGGGTTCAGGGGTTTATAGAGGTTTAGGGGTTTAGGGGTTTAGGGTTTAGGGTTTAGGGGTTTAGGGTTTAGGGTTTATAGGGGTTTAAGGTCTTGGCTCTTGCAGAATGGACCCTTGTGAGCTCTACGAGGTCAACCATATAGGCAACCAAGACGGTTTGGTGCCCCAGCCACCCTGGCCCGGCTTTACAGGGCTTCAGTGGGCGTGCTATACTACTGGCGTGCTACCCGCAGATTGCGGCTGTGTGGGGGAATGGGGTCCAAGTGGCCACCAAGAGCTTGATCAGCCGATCCGTGTGAGAGGGCATCCCTGGCAGAAGTGGGTTCCAACTGTTCTGGGATTAATGAGTGCAGATACCGCCTTAACGCAAACCCTGAAGCCCCTTGGCTGATGTGGCAATGCAGCGCAGCGCGGCTACGTATTCGTAGTTAAAGTTGTTAAAGGAGGATGATAGGGGTATAACTCTGGTTCCGCCTTCTGGAAAAGTTTTTTGCTCGTTTCTCCTACGTTAGCGTATCAGGGTGCAGTTGGGTAGCGGGTTGAGAGGCTCTTCCTAATATAGGGGCCTTAATAATTAGAATAGGTTTTTGGGGCCCATGCTACTATACTTATAATAAGGGCCCCCTCCCCCCGGAACAGTATTGGTAACTACTTAGCCCCTATATTATTCCCTAAAACCCAGGTCAAGGCTTGCAGATCGTAAACTCAGACAGTGCGAGTTGAGAAACGACGATCGAGCACCGGACACCCTCGAGAGAAGGACGACGGACATATTCTTTAGGTTTTTAATTGTTTTAGGGTTTAGGGTATAGAGTTTAGGGTGTTGAGGGGGGGTTTGTTGGGTTGAGGGTTTAGGGTTTCTTGAGCGATCGCCATCCTCATCATCACCACCATCATCGTCAAAAGCAGCCATCCACTCTCTCGACCCAGAAGACCTCCCTGCAGGTACTGTGTCCTCTGCTTTGTTCTTGCTTCGTTAAAAGAACTGTCTCGCAAGAATGAACAGTCACAAGCCCACTGAAACTTGGTTGAAAGCCCCCTGCGCAGAACCACCACCGAGGAACCTATTTGGGTGCGCCGCAGGCCTGACCCCAACACTCACAACCAAACAGTCTCAATCGCCTGATCACCTACCTAGCCTATCTATCCATCCATCCATCCATCCATCCATCCATTCATCCACCCATCCGTAGGAACATAACGACATTGTTAACAAAACAAGTTAATCTGAAAAGAGGTTTCAGCATACTACGGTCTTCCAGGGCTGCAACCTCTAAGGCCCAATTGAAATTACCTGGTTACCATGATCTACGGTTATGTGTAAAGTTTAAGGCTCATGGATTAAAACCCGGAACCCTACGCCCATCCCCAACTCAAAAACCCTACTGTAGGGGCCTCATACTAATTAGAATAGGGTTTTGGGGGTCCCTATCTATAATCATCATAGTATCATAGTATTGTATACCCCAAGCTATACTACACCTTGACCACATCCAGAACCCTCTTCTAATTGTTGAGGCCCCTATATTACACCTCAACCACCTCCAGAACCTAAACCCTACACCCTAAAACCCCAAACCCTAAACCCTAAAACCTAAGACCCTAAGCCCTAAACCCCCCTAAACCTTCGCCCTAAACCCCAAACCCCTACAACCCTCCATCGCCTAAGGTCACCATGGAGTCCGCAACCAGCTCAATGAGCTTCTCTTCGCTCTCAGCGTCATCGCCCAATCCGAGCCTCGGTGGGCGCAGAGAGCTCCGAGTTGAATGTAGGGGCCTTAAGAATTAGAATAGAGCTTTGGGGGTTCCCTTTAGCTATAAGGGCTACTATACGGGTTTAGGGTGTAGGGGCCTTAAGAATTAGAATAGGGCTTTGGGGGTTCCTTTAAAGGGCTCTATAAGGGCCACTATAATAATATCACCCAATCCGAGCCTCGGTGGGCCCAGAGAGCTTCGAGCTTCGGTTTAAGCTTTGGCGTTCAGGCTTTAGGGTTTCTGTTTAGGGTTTAGGGCTTAGGGTTTAGGGTTTCTGTTTAGGGCTTAGGGCTTAGGGTTTAGGGTTTCTGTTAAGGGTTTAGGGCTTATTATTTTTGTTGAAGGCCTTTTTGGTGTCCGCCTTGCAACGTCTCCCAAACCCTTAAGGGTAGGCAAAATGGCCACTGTCGGGCCTGAAACACTCACAAACTCCTCCCTCAGCCTTGGCAACCACATTCATGCCCTCACAGCCCTCCATGTCCCTCGTTCCGAAACTGCCGTAGGGGCTCAGGTTCACTTCCCTCACAACCCTGTGCGACCTCTCCGACCTCATCAGGCTCAGGGTTTAGTATTTTATAGGGTTTAGGGTTTGGTGTGGATGGTTTGTGTTTAGGGTTTAGGGTCAAGGGTGCAAAACCCTTTGGGCTTCAATGAACATACTTTTATAGGCACACCCCCCTTTGCTTTCTACACTTTCACAAACGCGATGATAGCTACCTAGAGGGTCATACCACACCCCTCAACGCAATTGGCTAGTTTCAAGACGGCGTATGACCCTCTAGGTAGAGAGCAGCCAGGGGGCCCGTAATCTGATGGTGCTCCCTGCACACGGCCGGTTCCTCTGACCAAGGAGAAAGGTTTGGGAAGCGGAGGAAACCCCCGAAAGCCTAAACCCTAAAGCCTAAACCCTAAACCTTCAGGTATACATACATTGACACAGGGATTCGACAGAAGGACCTTGATGTTATGCGTCGGGACTCCGGCTTTTACAGAGCGGATGTGGTTTATTATAGCGGATTCTGGCATTTGGAGAAACGGCTGAGGGCCTAAAGCCTAAACCCTACACCCTAAATTGGGTCTCTCCCGGTTCCACCCTTCGAAGGAACAAGCCCAGCACGCGAAGCCGTAGCTAGCGCAACCACCACACCCTGAAAAGTGACCCGAGCCTATACAACAATAATGTGCCTATCTCCGTTTTGTACCGACCCCAGGCAGACCCTGAACTTCCTAAGCCCGGAACCCTGAACCCTAAGCCGGTTTGCTCTCTGGCCTCCAGCCGACTCCTTCATGCCCTTCTTGGCCAGAACTGTTTCGGGCACCTCTTCTGCTTAGACTGGGGTTTGGGGGTATATTATACTGCAATTATAATGCAGAACCCCCAAAACCCCATTCTAATTATTAAGGCCCCTACACCCTAAACCCTTATAGTAGCCCTTGTAGAAGCCTTCAAGGAGCCCTTTAAAGGAACCCCCAAAACCCCATTCTAATTATCAAGGCCCCTACATGACCTGGACCCCACAAAGCCTTCCGCCTGAGGCGTCCTCTCACGACTTCCGTATTTTAAATACCCTAAACCCTAAACCCTAACCCTAACCCTAAACCCTAAACCCGAAGCCCTTAAACCCTAAACCCTAAAACCCGCTAGGCTCTTTTGGGGTCCAAGTGGGGGTTTAGATGCGTGGGCTTAGGATTCAGGATAGTTAACCCTGAGAGAAGTGAGGGAGCCTCTCTTCATCATCCCTATCACAAAAGCCTTAAAGCATTTAGGGCGTAGGGCCTAGGGTGTAGAGTTAAAGTTTAGGGCTTTTCAAGGAATTATTGCGGAAATCCCTAGTTTTGTCCTACCTTAACTTGCAGCCAAATGAGCGCGCAAGTCGTCGGTGCTAACCTTCTCATGCTACGGCTCCCTCCGTGTAAATTCCTGTATCATCGCTGAACACCGCGCTCTTTCATGCTGGAGTCCTCACGCAGGAAAGACATAACCCTCTTCACACAGCGCATGAAACTGAGGTCTTATCATTCATACCTTAGGCCTTTGTTACCTTTAGTGCGTCCATGGTGCTTCACAAAAGTGGTGCTTCACACTGAGCGAAAACCGTTCGGAGGGTTTGCGAGTTGAATGCCAGGCATATTTCCGCTGATTTCCGCTCTGATATGCTGTGATTCTTGAAAGGCAAACCAAAGGTTGAGCCGTCGGAGACTTTGATGGCGTTGCATGCCTTTTCCATGTTCGTAGTTGTCCAGAACTGTCTCGGGCGACCAACCCTGCGTTGCTCGGTTTCCCTGCGCATGGCACATTGTGTTGTGAATGCTGGTTGATGCATCGGATGCTGCCTCTCCCTACTGTGCGAAGCACATGGCCCAGCAACTTGAGCCGGAATTGTTCAAATGATTCACTAACGGCTTGTTATTTCAACCATCTTCTGCCATTAGTGCATTTTGAAGCTTCGTCGTTTGCTCTCTGATACACATATGCATCTGAGTTCTGATGCTGTGCCAATGTCGTGTGTAACATGAGAACCTTTCTAAAACCTTTAAGTTGAGGGTTTAGTAGATATCCTGTTGCATCAGTGGGCTCTCGACTTCCGAAGCCGCAAGGAAGTTTGCTGACGATGACTGTGTTGTGTAGCATCTTCCGTTTTGTTGCAATGAGACTTAAACCAAAAAACATCAAGTTTCTTGAGGGCAGCCATTGTTGCAGATATGCGTTTTTCGATTTCACGGTTCGGGCCCACTGCTTCTTGTGATGCAGGCTCCTACAGTTTCCTCAGCGCACTTCATTTTTCTCCGTTTTTGAACCGAACTGGTGTCATCTGCATACAACAGATCTTGGAAATTGACTGAATAGATACGGGCTTAAGGGGCATCCTTGTCGGACGCCCGTGCGTTGCACATGTGTCCCTGTAGAACCCTTAAAAACTAACCTTGTGGTGATCCTGATAGCAAACCCAAAAGGAACCCGAACGGAGAACCCTTGAAATAGGTCCGAAATACGTATAGGACTCTCTCGGAACTGTAAGAACAGCCTTATGCAACCCTCGAATTATGCTTAACCGAACCCTCTCAAGGACACCTAAACCCTTAACCCCTTAACCCCTAAACCCCTAAACCCCAAACCCCAAACCCCCAAACCCCTAAACCCCCAACCCTAAAGCCTAAACCCTAACCCAAACCCTAAAACCCAAACCCCTAAACCCCTAAACCCTAAACCCTAAACCCCTAAACCCCCAACCCTAAACCCCTAAACCCCTAAACCCCCAACCCTAAAGCCTAAACCCCTAACCCCTAAACCCCTAAACCCCAAAACCCCAAACCCAAACCCCTAAAACCCAAGCCTCGTCGCTGGGGGAGAGCCCGTAGAGCTCGCGAGCAGCTTCCAGCTTACGCTGGTGGACCAGCCTCGGCGTCGGAGAATGCTGGGGTCAGAAAAGGTTTTTCGTTGTTGTTTCAAGGAGTTTGGGGGGTGGTATTATGATGTTTTAGGAGAATTTGTGGCTTTGTGTTATTGAGTTTGGTTGTTGTCTTTATGTAGGATTTGTGAATCCAATAGCCTGGTGCTGTGCGGTTCTGTAGGGTTCTAAAGGATCTACGACGCTGTTCTGATAGTGTGCTGTTTCAAGGGCTATGGTCTATAACATCATAAGGAATTGGGGTTCAGACATTAAGGGTGTGAGGACTTCGCGTGGGTTCAGGGCTTTAGGAGGCAGGCTTCTTCAGGGTTTTATGGCCTAGAGCTCAATATTCTTCCTTCGGGTTCCTGATTATACCCACAGCCCTCTTCGAATCGTTGCTTCAGGTCCCTATATCACATTCAGGGTATGTTTAAGGGAGGCACCCCTGTACTAAACTCGTCGTCCCTTACACCCCAAAAGCCCTAGCTATTCAAACCCCTCAACCCTCTACCCCCATATGCCCCCGAACCTCTAAGCCACAAAACGCTTCTGCACTAAAAGGCCTAAAAGCCTTGCAGCCCTCCCTGCCGCTCCAGAAACTCCTCATGCACAGTGGCAGGCCCCACGATCGAAACTCCCGAAGCCTTAACCGTGTTAGCGTTTAGCGTTTAGGGTTTAGGGTTTCGGATCTTGACCCAATGCCACTAAGCCCTCAAACTCCTCAACCCCTAAACCCTCAAACAACCCCTAGACCCTCAACCTCTGAACCCTTGACCACCTTAAGCCCTTGAGCAAAAAAACATGCACGAAACACCTGAAAGGTTGAAGTCTGGAACCCGTTGGCCGATAGATGCGAGGGTTGCGAGCCCAAAAGGGCCTGTAAGGTTTCGGGTTTAAGGGCCCATACCAGGTTTAGTAGAGTGGGGGTTCGAAGTAAGTGCGCGTGACATGTGGGCCCCAATGCCGCACCTCATGTCGATCCTGACCACAACCACCCCGTCTATTATGGGCCGAGAATGCCCACCGATATCTGCAGAGTGGCTTCGAACGCTGCAGGAGGACGATGAAGGAGAACTTTGCCTCTCGGGAGATCGAGGGGCGAGTATTTAGCGTTGAACAGAAACATATACATACATGTATACATATACCTCTACATGGCCGAAGTTGCATGTATGTAGTATATGTATGTATACATGCATGCATGCATGCATGCATGGATGTATGCACGTAGGTACGTACGTACATAGGTATGTATGTATGTATGTATGTATGTATGTATGTATGTATGTATGTATGTATTTGTGCAATGTAATGTGTTTATATACATACACGCACACATGCACGATGCATACTGAATGCATGTATCGCGTGGGTATGTACGCATACCTATATTCTGGGTTTTTATACGTACGTATGCAAACAGATGCCATGGTCCCTCAACCCCGAACTTGCTGAGCATTCACTGCCCAGATGCCAGCATGTTCAGGACCACCCACCCGAGCTCGATGATGAGCTCATCCTCGATGAGGCTATAGCCCTCCGGGCTGAGGACATACCTGGAAATTGGGTTCACGCTTTCTGGGTTTATTTATAGGGTCCATAGGGCTTGGGGTTAATATTATTATAGGGTTGCTATTCGGGCTTAGGGTGGCAAGGAAGGCCTTCATAATGTCATGGCTAGTCAGTAAGCCAGACCCTGTTGTGGCCGCCAAGCCGTGGCACGGAGATGTCAGTATCCCAAAATCCGGAACATTGCTCAAAGCGCTGGCAACTCCTTCGAAGGAGTCTAGAATAACCTACTACTTAGGGGTTTCCGAAAATAGGGAACCCTAATATAGCACCCTAAATCGTAGGATCCTTATTATAAAGACCCCCAAAATAGGTACCCCTTACGTTCGGAAACTCCCACTTGTCCAGCATCCTCCGGGAAATCAAGGTCAAGCTTTCAAGTTATTTCGGGTTTCGGGTTTAGGGTTTAGGGGTTTATGGTATTTCGGGGTTTTTAGAATAGGGTTTCGGGGGCCCATTATACTATAATTATAATAGGGGGCCCCCAAGATATACAGGTTAGTGAGGCCCCTATATTACTCTACTACTAAAGATAGCGGGTGTGGAGAACAGCAGGATTCTACACCCGGAAATCACGCTGATCCCCCAAATGCCTCAGCCCGATTCCCGAAAGCACATCACCGCACGCCCCTAAACCACAAGCACCAAAACCCCAGGCAACCATAATAAGACTGATAAGAACTAACTGTTGGGATTTAAGAAGAAAAGATAACAAGCAAGTTAAAGTAGCACTAAATCCAACATGGCAAGACAACTGAACTTCTTTTTGATGCCCAGTCGCCAGATGGGGAATGGGAGCCAGGTCAAAATGAGGAGGAGTGAGAGCCTCCGCCATGGTGCTTCGGATTGTGGGTTTCCCAGGTCGGGTGCATAAGGTAGGGGAAGCTGAGATTCTTGCAGCTCTAGCTACCTAATCACCCACCTAGAACTAGCCGTAAAATCAGCCTTCAAGTATTGTGGGGAAGACGACATTGTTGATTGTATGTATCGTGGTGTCTCACGCAATTAAGCCGGGCCGCCGACGGTAGTCCGAATTGCCGCGATACCAGTTCTCCTCTCCTTCACTGTTCTCAGTGATCTGCAGGGCATTGTAATAAAACATGATCAAGCAAAAGATGCAGCCGAAGGCGAACCACACGTACCTTAGCCAGGAACTTCTGAGGCCTAGCTACCTGAGCTAGGTGGTGAAGAGGGCAGTTGTGGTGGGTACTTTGGGGCAATGTATCTACTAGTTGGGTACATGGACTTTTGGGGTCATGGTTTGGGGTTGAGGGTGCATGCTGCAACACAATGAGCCTGGCCCACCAGGCCATCACAGCTAAAGAAGCAAAGGTATCTGTTCGTTTCAGCCTCTGGGGCTTTCAGGCTCAGGGGGTTCAGCTGGTGTGGGGTTGGGGATACTACCTATAGTCTTCATTGTAGTTCCTTTTTGGGGATACCTTATAAAATCCTTAATATATAATTGGTGAAACCAAAAAAGGAACTACAATGGAGACTATAGGTAGACCCTAAACCCTAAACCCTAAACCCTGAACCCTAAACCCTAAACCCTAAACCATTGGAGAGTGTCGAGATTCAGAGAGTTGAGATCCCATCACCAAAGATCACCAAAGTGCCTCCCCTCAAACTCCTCTTCTCAAAGTCTGACGAGTTCCTTTAGACTTTAGGGGCCTCAATAGTTAACTTAGGGTAGGGTTTAGGGTTTAGGGTTTAGGGTTTAGGGTTTAGGGTTTAGGGTTTAGTTTAGGGTTTAGGGTTTAGGGTTTAGGGGGATTACATTATAACTTCTTCGGCCCCTATACTATAGAGCTTGGATCTTGTTGGGTCGTCTAGGCGTTTCAGGGACTTCTTCAGATGACCGTGTGGAGTTAGGGGTTTAGGGTTTAGGGTTTAGGGTTTAGGGTTTATGGTTTAGGGTTTAAGGTTTAGGGTTTAGGGTTAAGGGTTTAGGGGTTCAAGGCTTGGTGTGTTGAGGCTGTTGATCACCCAGAATTCCGAATGTCAGGGAGCCCGGCCGCACTGCCAACTGCAATCAAAGCCGCAGATGGCAAAGCTCAAGCCCAAATCTAAAAACAGTTGCACAACCCACCATTAAAGCATTGCTGGTGACAAGAGTTACCTCAAACTCTAGCATGAACTTGCACCCCGGACCAGACTGCGAATATTAAAGCCGATTGAGCCCAAGCTTCATCATGAACGTGTCCGTCAAGCTCGAGGCAATGCCGCAACTCGGGATAGCAAACGAACCCTAGGGCTCCAAGTATGCAAATAGTACCTACCTATAGTCTCCATCGTAATTCCTTTTTGGGGATACCTTATAAAATCCTTAATATATAATTGGTTAAACCAAAAAAAGGAACTACAATGGAGACTATAGGTACTTTGGGGTCTAAAGTCTATAAATATGTAGTGCCTACTTTGGCGCTATCTGGAGCTTTAGGGGAAGGCTTCCCCAGGGAAGATATCTTAAACGCTCGGAGTCGAATGTCTTTAGTTAGGGCCTTGCGGATTAAGCCCCTGACACTGTGAATTCGAGTTCGGGGGCTCAAACACCCTGAACCATGAGCCCTACCCCCTGTTTCCCGCGCATTCCTAGGTGAAGCTTTCACGCAGAGATCTCTCCCTAATCCCTAAACCCTACTGTGTGTGTGTGTGTCTCTCTCTCTCTCTCTGTCTCTCTCTCTCTCTCTCAAGCTTTCTCATTCTCACTGACTCACTCACAACCTAACACGGCCTAGATGATTCGTCTACGGTTTTGGTGAGCTTCATAGCAGCAGCAAGAGGAGGAGCAGGAGTAGGAGTAGGAGTAGGAGTAGGAGTAGTAGTAGTAGTAGTAGTAGTAGTAGTAGTAGTAATAACTATAATAACAATTGCTGTTCTATGTTGTTCTGGTTGTCGTGGTCCTGGTTGTAGTCGTCGTCGTCGTCGCCGTCATGCTGAGGTTGGCGCTACTGAGCAGATGCGGCTCTGCGAACTTTCCCGAAAGCTTTCCGAAGCTACCTATAGTCTCCATTGTGGTTCCTTTTGGGGGATACCTTATAAAATCCTGAATACATAATTGGTTAAACCAAAAAAAGGAACTGCAATGGAGACTATAGGTAGGACCCTGACCTGCTATCTGCCCGGACTCGCTGCAAACCGTGTCAGTCAGGGGTTAGGGTTTAGGGTTTAGGGTTTAGGGTTAAGGGTTAAGGGTTTAGGGTTTAGGGGCTGCAGACAGTGGCAGTCGTGGGGTGCAGGGTTTAGGGTTCCGCCCATGAAAGTCGAACTGCTTTGCGGCTGAAATGGCCGTTCTTCCGCCTGTGCCTGCTTACGGCGTCTCGCGCGCTTTCTCTTCTTGTTCGGCATCACAGAAAGAAAGGACCCATGGCTAGAGAAATCATCGGCAAGCGACATGAGAATGGTTGCGGAGAGCAGCGGCATCATGAACCGCCTGCCCAAGCATTCAAGCATTCACTGTTTTGGGGGGCAAACTATCGAACCACAAGTCCTCAAAAAGAGGCGCCGGCATTCATACTTAGAGGGTGATTAACTACCCACTCCACCCACAAGGGTATACTGACGAACGTAAGTAATCTCAAGCAAAGGCAACAAAACGTGTGAAAAAAAGATGCAGCCTGTAGGATGGCACCCGAGCACCAGCGAGGACGACTAGCTTCAACTGCCTCGGCTCACAAGGCTTCAGTGAGGGCGGAAACCCTTCTTACAGGTCTGTGAGTCTCGCAGGGAGCCGAAACAACACGGCTTCACCATACCCGCAAACTGTGAGCTCGCACATCCATTATGGGTTTGACTGGGGATCTGTGCAGGGACTGGCAGGGCACGGGTATATCACTGCAGGAATGACGATGGCGACGACAAAAACAGACCGATGGTTGCTGTGTCTGTCTACGTCGCAGTCAGCAGTAGACTGCTGAGTGGTAGTCTATACTAGCATCAGCACGTAAAGGCAAAGGAGCAGCTGAATCAGCAGCGGACAGCAACGCCTACGCGTGAGCACTGCCACTTGCAAACCGTGTGTTGATCCCCAAGGCATGCCTTACACGAACTTCCATGAACCCTAGCTTCTGCGACCATCGCCGCGGGTTTAGGGTCTGCCATGTATAGGGCTTAGCAGTTGAAGCGGGCAGGTACGTTTCAATCTGCTGGGGCTGGGGGCCAATGGACCCCGAAACCTCGAATTTAGATGTTCGAGCCTACCCTAAGCCTACCTGGACCCTGGTATACCTCTTTAGGGTTCCTTATGATGATTTCCTTATAATATATATATATATATACATATATATATATATATTTATATTTATACATATATATATATATAACTCCTTAAGAAGGTAGGCTATTTAGGCTCCAGGTACACCCCCGAGAGACGCTCCGAGTTGCAAGATGGGACAAGTCATGATCCACTCAACCTGCCCATGAGGTTGACAGTCCAGGGGTTTAGGGTTTAGGGTTTAGGGGTTTAAGATTTAGGGGTTTAGGGTTTAGGGTTTTAGGGTTTAGGGGTTTAGGGTTTAGGGGTTTAGAAAGATGCTCAAAACAGTTTCTGCAGGCTGCTGAATATTATACTCTGCTATACACTAACTGTACTCTTAGTCTTAGTCTTAGACTATACTATTCTATACTATATACTATACTATACTTACTATACATACTTCAAGGAGGTTGGAGGGCTCTTCGGCACCCACACAACCAACGACACGCATGACTACACGCGTATCCGCTGTGACCCAACACTTCATGAATGCTCCCAATTCTCCTCCATTGCAGCAGAGCCAATACATGTTATGGCATATGGGGAGTGCATAGCTATCTCTGTCTTGAGTTCATGGCAGGGCGTGCAATCAGAAGCAATCAAAGAAGCAATACAACATAGAGCCAGTACACATCGGTGAATGTGCGTGTGTGCACATATATCTGCTGGCGTGTGTGGGTATGTGTCACGTACATGGCTTAAATAGCATATCTCTTTTCACGTACCAATGTCTTTCCTTTGTATTGTGTGTGCGCGCGTGTGTGTGTGTGTGTGGTGGCTGTCTGTGTGTCTGTGTGTGTGTGTATTTGTGCTTGCGTGCGTGCACTCTGCTGTCTTGCGCGTTCGCTTGTACGCTTGCTTGCGTGCTGGAGCTTGATTGCTTGTCTGCTAGAATGTTCTAAATCTCTCTCTCACTCTCTCCCGCTCTCTCTCCCTCTCGCTTTATTGGGCCTGTAGGGAAGTGTTGCTTCATGTGCCAGTTCTTAAAGCCTCTTGTTCTTCGTTATAAACGGAGCAAGGCCAGAGAGCCTCTAACTAAGCTCAACGAGCACGAAGCTCGATCCTGCTGCAGGACAGGGTTTAGGCTTTAGAGCTTCAGGGCTTTAAGTTTGATGGTTCAGGATTCAGGGTTTAGGCCGCAACTTCCAAAGTCATCTCCCCAGGCCTTAGCATATACTAGCATTAGCAAATTAATTTTGCAAATATTTCTATTATTGAAACTGCTGGTATTGTTACTCTTGTCGTAGTTGCTGTTGTTGTGAATCATTAGAACTACTATGAACTACTGCAACTCACCCCTAAACCCTAAACCCGAAACCACTGCAACTCCACAGTTGGGTTCGAAGCCCGCTGTATGCCCTAACCTCTGAACCCTAAACCCCTAAGCCGTTAAACCCCTAAACCCTAAGCCCTAAACCTCTAAACCCCTAAACACCTAAACCCCTAAACCCTAAAACCATAGACCCCTAAACCCCTCAACCCTAAGCCCTAAACCCTAAACCCCTAAAACCCTAAAACCCTTTTGTATGCAACCAAGGAAGCAGGACGGGCCAGCTGAAGAGTGTAGGAGTGGGTCGAGACGCCTCTGCCTGATCAGCGGAGTTTGGGGGTTTAGGGTCTTTAAGCTTTGGGGTTTAGGATTTAGATGGATTTAGGGTTTAGGGTTTGGGGGTTTAGGGGTTTAGGGTCTTTAGGCTTTGGGATTTAGGGTCTTCGGGCTTTGGGGTTTAGGAGTTTAGGGTTTAGGGTTTAGGGGTTCAGGGTCTTTAGGCTTTGGGGGCTTAAGGCTCTAGGTTTTACGGTTTTAAATTAAAAACAGCTTGTAAATAAAATAGGCTTTGGGGTCTTAAGGGTTTATGGCCAGGCCAGGGTCTTTGTCGGGGTTTAGGATTTAGGGTTCAAGGTTTATGGTTTAAAGCTTAAGGGTTTTTAGGGGTTTACCCTAAGCCCTACGCCGTCAGAATCAGGGGTGGAATCATCGCGGCTGTAACATTAGTGGTCTGTACAAACGGTAAAGTATCCCTATAGCTATACTGCAGCATGCCCCAGACGCCCATGTTTGTCATTAACGGCCCTACATCAAGCTCCTTGTCATTCTGGCAGAAGACATGCGTAACAATGCCGAACCTACAACTCCAATTAACCACTATATACCCCACACCTGAATCCCTGAGCCCCGACTACAACCCGGCTAAACCCTAGTGTAGGGGCCTTAATAATCAGAACAAGGTTTTTGGGGCTCCTTGTTATTATATAGTATAATATACCCCAAACCCTATTCTAATTCTTAAGGCCCCTATATTGAACCCTAAACCCTAAACCCCTAAGCCCTAAACCCTAAACCCCTAAACCCTAAACAGTAAACCCAAAGCCCTAAACCCTGAACCCCTCAACCCTAAACCCTAAACCCCTAAACCCTAAACCCTAAACCCTAAACCCCTGAAGCCAAAACCCTAAACCCCTAA